GTCTCACAGACAGCAAGGCAGTTTCTGCATAACGGCCGTTATGCCAATTTATGTTGCTTTATTTAAATCGCAGTCCTCTGAGCGGTTTTATGTGTGTGTATATGTGTATGTTTAATTTCTTTACCATCGCGTGTGGCCAACCGTGCTATATCGGAGATGCGCGAGAAGGACCACAAATTACATACGAGTTGCAAGTTTATAGATGCAATCGATTGACATCTTCTGGGTCACCATGTCTACGACATATATTAGTGTACTTTAAATAATGACAACGATAGTACACATTTATCACAGAAATGGTCCTTTCTTATAAACGTTAGGCAATTTACCAGCACCGAACCGACAGTTGCTGATTGGAATTCCCAGCCATGGCTAACATTGGCAGTCAGTGATATCGTAATCGGTCCTGGACGTTCCTAGAACCCTACATCTAGCAGTTGATTAACAAAGGCTGTATATTACAGTAGTATCATCATCAATATTAACCCATGATGAAGATTACTTTTATTGAATGTTTTATATTCAATTAAATTTGGTCACGCACATTTGAAAATCAAACGTAAACATTTGGTTAAGACTAATCCCGCCTTATGAACAACCCACGTGCTCCGTTCATCCTCTCTCCAAGTGTAATTGCAAGCGTGCACTTTTTCACGCTTTTTTGCGCAACGTGTTATTTTATTTTTTTAGTAATTTCCTCTGCAAATGTCGCACATTTCTAACCCATGGCATAGCAGCGAATGCACCAGGCATTTCATAAAATCGCTGTATGGCGTTTCATGACTAAACTCAAGAGGGGAAGAGACTGAAAGGATAAGAAAGAGGAACAAATGGATTAGAGAACTCACAAAGTTTGAGAAATCGTGTTGACGTTTAAAAAATAATAAAGTATGTGGGCTTGGAACAGGACACGATGCTCGAAGGGGCGATGGCTAGCGGTCGAGCTTAACTGCTTAATTCTAGATTTGACGTTTTCGTGACTGCAAGGATCCATACTCTTTGGTTCTTTCGGTTATTTTCATTTTATTATTTTTTATTATTTTTCATCTACGTGACTTAACTGTTGACTTTTTTTTCCAGGTTAGGCACACTGAGCTATATAGATCTTTTTTCAGAAGCGACCTCGCCGTCACAAATGATAGCTCAACGAATTGGCTTATCTTGGGGAAATGTATAGCATCCAAATACTCTAAACGCGTAATGTTGATTCCATATGTGGAGGGAAAAACCGAAGGACCCGGAGAAAAATCCACGCAACCACGGGGAGAGAGAGACATGCAGACTGCAAATATATAACAGGCGTCAGGGTCGCGTTCGAACCCACCGCCTCAATGTATACCAGGCGATGTAGTTAACATCTCCTCGCCACCGTAGCGACGCAGTGCCAGCCAGAGGAAAGAACTCGCCCGAGATGACGCGCCCATCCTCACGCAAGATTGTGAGAGATTCATAATAAAGGTTTTTGGGTTAGATCGCGTTATTTATAAATGTGTCGTAACCCTCCACCACCCGACACGGCCAATCAGCAAAAAAAAGTGTCACGTTGACAAAAGACAAATAATTCACTACTTTAGCCCACCGGTGTGTTGAAGAGTGAATCCACAACATTTACAGTTTGAGTACGACGTTTCGCTGGTAAATACATCCAGCATCATCAGGTAATTCGCTTGGGGAGGCCGTGGTCCGGCAATGGATAGGTCATTGCTGCTGCTAAAGAAGATGATGATGATGATGATGCATTAAAACTATCTCGATTATATTTGCTATATATATAAAAAGAATCGAGACATATGTAAAAAAGAAGAATGGTCTTCACCCTTTCTGGGAAATAAAACAGGAGGTGTTAAGACGTTCAAACAACAAATGGATACCAATTGCAAGGCATTGCATCTGCATTAGCCACACATTATTGTGACAAAACATGAAAATAAACACGCTTTCTTCATATATGCATTGTCTTTGAAAATTATTGGCATACACCAGAGACAGCCGTCTATCTCGTCTTGTCTCACTTAAAACGTCACGTAGATATAAGTGCTCAACCCGAGCTATCAATGTTTTGATACATGCACTCACTTTGTCCTGTTCACCTTTTGACGTTCTCTGGTCCAAGGTTCCATGGAGACGTCTGTAATTTTAAAACAAAGTTAAACATTCGCGTTTGAAAAGCATAAAAAAAATGTGAATTGTTACATGTTGTGAATTCTTATGAGTACTCGTATTTTGACATTTAAAAGATGTAATTTCAACACGTGATGATGTATGTAACATACACACATTGCAAGATTATTTGTCAGTGGTTCCGCAGCCCTGTGAGCATATCACCAAAATGCGTTCGATGTTGTCAAATATCAGAAGCTAAGCAGATTCCTGCTTGAATGGGTGGCCACCATGCATAACAGGTGTTATAGGCAGCCATGGGATCAGGGGCTCAGCTACGATTGAGGGTACGCGGCAACATTATGCGGTGCATAGGGACCCAGCGGACCACAACGGGGCCCCGAATCAACGGATAAACAAGTAAAAAAAAAGAAAGGGGGAAAACCCTGTTATTAAAACACATTATTAAAAACATATTCGAACAGTGAACCGTACACTAAAAAAAAACATTGTTACAAACGAGACAAAATTATATTTCCGAAAAATACACACAGCGTGAAATCGAGTAGCGCTACCGCTTGCGTTTATTACTGAGCGCCATCAGGATTGTTTGCTAATTTACATGCGCATGAAAGACGACCGATAACTTAATTGTGAGTATTGTTACCTTGAAATCTTTGTATTAATACTGTCACTGGGAAACTGTCTTCCTCTAAACGCAATCCACAGTGAAACTAAAATAGTACGTAAAATACTCATCGGCTACATATTAGTAAAAGTGAGTCGGGAGAAAGGAGAAGGGTCCACAGTTGTATCTAACATACTCATCCCCCCACCCTGTTGAAATGGGTAGTTAAAATAGGTGGCAGTTGAAATGGGTAGTTAAAATAGGTGGTAGTTGAAATGGGTAGTTGAAATAGGTGGTAGTTGAAATGGGTAGTTAAAATAGATGGTAGTTGAAATGGGTAGTTAAAATAGATGGTAGTTGAAATAGTTAGTTAAAATAGGTGGCATTTGAAATGGGTAGTTGAAATAGGTGGTAGTTGAAATAGTTAGTTAAAATAGGTGGCATTTGAAATGGGTAGTTAAAATAGATGGTAGTTGAAATGGGTAGTTAAAATAGATGGTAGTTGAATTGGGTAGTTGAAATAGGTGGCACATGAAATAGGTAGTTGAAATAGGTTGTTAGTTGACATAGGTAGTTGAAATAAGTGTTAGTTGAAATATGTAGCTGAAATAGGTTGTTAGTTGAAATATGTAGTTAAATAAGTATTGCGCTCCTACATGGGGCTGTTTCTTAGGCAGCAGAGGGGCAGCGCAACAACATCTATAGTTGTGCTGTACCCTAGGATCTTACTTCTATGCTCCCAACTTTCACCAACCAGAACTGACCAGCACGCTGAAGTATGGTTAAATAATCCCCAAATTAGACCTGCGGCAGTAGCTTGACAAAGGGCTGTACGTACCACGGGTGTGAACTGAATAAACTCAGAGCCTCGTCAAACTCCTGAAAGGGCTCGTTTACACAGACACACAGAGAAATTGGGAATTGACTTAAGTTTACACACGCACTTATAAACCAAGTTTAAACACACCTTTTAGAAATAAGTCGAACGCAGTATACATACAAACCACAACAATTGCCAATAGCACAAGCAATACAGAATCACCACAGGCTCCATTTGGTCTTCATCTGAAGCTGTTGATTATTTTCATGAGAATACATTTCAATTAATAGTTTTCATATGCAACATATATAAAAAGTTGTTAATATATAGTTGAACATAAACACACATTGCTATTATCTGATCTTTTTCAAACATATAATTCTGTTCACGTGTTTTGTAAATGTAATTACTACTTTTCCAGCCCTTTGTCAATGGATCAAACTCCCACCCCATCGGTCATAGGGGTTTGTTTGACCATACTTCACCACGCTGATGCAGGTTGTAGTGTACCCAGGACCCGTTTTGACAAGTATTACATTGCATCTTTCCCGCGTAGAATTTGGTTTGAGCAGTGAATTGGAATTTTCATACATTTGTAATGACTTGACACACTTGTTTTGAGATGGTTTCTTTATTGATGAGACACGTTCACTCGAACAGGCGGATGCCCCTCTGCAACAGCCCACGCATCCCACTTATATACGGACCGAGGCCACGCCCCCCTTCCCGAACCTTCTCGCTGGCTCTGGACTGCTAGTTCCAGCATGCAGACTCTACCGTCCCCTTCCGTCAGCTGACCATGCTCCTATTCTCGATCATTCCCGCAGCCACCAGTCCCTTTGTACTACAGGCTGACTCCCCTGTCATTACCTCCCGTGACCACAAGTCCCTTCGCACTGTAGGTTGACTCCCATGTCTTCCCCTCCCGTGGCAACTAGTCCGCTCACACTGCAGGCTGACTCCCCTGTCATTACCTCCCGTTGCCACTAGTCCACTCACACTGCAGGCTGACTCCCCTGTCATTACCTCCCGTTGCCACTAGTCCATTGGCACTGCAAGCTGACTCCCCTGTCATTACCTCCCGTTGCCACTAGTCCACTCACACTGCAAGCTGACTCCCCTGTCATTACCTCCCGTAGCTACCAGTCCACTCACACCGCAGGTAGACTCGACTGTCATTACACATTTAAATTTGCTCAAATTTAGATTCTAAATATTGCATGGGTTTTCAAACATGTGGTAGTAAACTAAACATCTATTTCGAGAATCATATATCTCTTTTGTTTACGTGAAAAAAAATCAAACGGCAACATTAATGATGCCTTGTACAGCGGGAAGCGAAAAAAACCTGACATCAAAAGTATGTAAGAGCCTATTAGGCAATGCGGCTCCGTATGGGAAGTGACGTGGCGATGCGAGATGGGCTATTTAGCCAGAGGGACAGACATTTACGACGTCCAGATTGACACATTGGCAAGACGAGCTGAGAAGCGACGGATTTACGTGAATGCAAAATGACAGCTGTGCCGGGATATTCCTTTGTGCTGCTGTTGTGCGCAGGCTTGTGTAAGAATGTGTATCCTACGTTATATTTCTGCTTCTTTAATATAATCCGTTGTAATGGGATACAAACTAAATATTTGCTTTTCATCTTGTCCTGCACTGTTAATTTTTATATTTATGTATGCTGCATTCGTTTTTTTTACATCTGTACACATTTTGATGCAGGGGGTTATTTAACATGGCACACTCGAATACGAATCCATTGTAAAGGTTCCACCATCAAGATGGCCAAGTTGAGTTTTTAAGAGAGGGGTCAGCGATGACCACGAGCTATAATAATTATAGTATCGTTAAATTTGTTCATGGTTCCAAATACTGAAATTGGCTACGTGTTGCTGTTGTTGCGACTGCGAAAGCGAGTGTGGTCCAATGAAGTTGAGTGCACGCCGTTCGGTTTCCAAGTGTCAACGTACACGTTTATGTTACTAACTTGAGTCCGCGAGATTTTACATATTTGACTAGAAACAAATAACATTTTGGTAGAGATCGCTTTACCTATTGCCCGTTTTGCTATACGTCGTAACAACAAATATTTTAAAGTTAACTGCAAGACATTGTTGGTGGCTTTGGCCAAGTGCAGCCTGATGAATATTCCCTCTGACATCTCCCGCCGCGTTTACCACTCGCCAATTCAAAGTCAGCCTCGATAGCATGGTGTACTTTCAATACAAAACAAAACCAAAAAACAAAAATTGCGTGTTTTACAGGTTCTGCAAAGTTTATGCATAGAGAAATTACGACGGTGTACGGCAACGAGAGAAAGTCAGTCACCATCCCGTGCATTTCCCCGGACAACGGCATGGAGCAAAGCCATCTGGTGCGGATCTTCTCCGACACGGAGCCAAACAGATCGCCGAACTTTCCTTACTCCATGAACGCCGATGAAGGCGCGAGGATAGAAAACCTCAGCATGGACATGGAAGGCAAGTACATGTGCATCGGATTCCTCGGCAAGAAGAAAGTCGAGTCGCAGATCTTTGAGCTGATTGTTGAGAAAGGTAAGGATTTTCCCTTCAGTTTTTTTGTATTCGCGTACTGAGTGAGCGGATGACACATTATTCTCTGTTCATGATACGCACGTTTTTTTTCTCTCTCTCTCTCTATGATTTTAAATAAGTGATGTTAAAAAAACACGCTTGTATTAAATGTACTAATAATGGCAGAACTCCACGACTCCAGGAAGTGGCCCCGAAGCTTGCCACGACGTAAGGGGGCCGTGGGCAATTACAGCCAACGTGAGTTGAGCGTGGACAATTAGACCCAAGGCGAAACATAACATATAAAAAATAATGTTTAAAAAATATATATATTTTTTTATGATAGAATATAGTATTGTCATCATTATGACATAAGTATACCAAGTTTGCAGTCGATACCACATTGGGAAGTGGGTTAAAATTAAGTTACAAGATTTGAGGATAAAACAACGACGACAACAACAGAGTGAGTTAAAACAAAGCGTGTAATAATAATAGAAGTGGGTGTTGCGTCCTATAATTTGGTAGGTGTGTGTGTGTAGACATGTTTGACTTTATTGACACGATTGGGGTGCGTAATTACTTCACGGTTCATCTTAGAATCTGGCGAACACAGTCATAACAGGACGGATGTTTCTGCACTGAGCCCTGTCACAATGCGCGTGAATTTCAAGATTAAGTTATTCAAATTAGAAGCGTTTGCTTGCATCAACCATGACAGATATATCATTACCAAGCGGCCACATTGCTGATTCAAATGCAAACGTAGCCAGGGGAAGACCTCAGGCCACAGGGTGGTGAGAGACTGTCAGAGGCAGAAATTGGAGGGGCTCGTGTCTATCGCGCAGCAGCTGTGGGACCTGGCAGAAGATAGGACACATTTGGAGAGATGTGCTGACCATGGTGACTTCTTGATTTTTGCATCGTACGTTAAACTTCGGTCGCACCGTACATAGCCAACCGTGCTAATCGGAGGTCATTTACGATATATATTACCAGCTTATATATATAGCGCCGTGAGAACGATTGTTTAAGGGCACTTTATACATTTACATTATTATCATGATATATTCTATTAGCCTATCAGAGGCTAAGTGTCTTTTTTTCAAGGGAGAGCCGAATTGTTGGAAGAAAATAATTGGCTTAATTTGTCTTTATTTTATTATAGCCACCGTAACAACGCATTCATATACTGCATTTACGGTCTTATAATTTAATTAAAGAATGCCGATATAGCCATACCGTTTAAATTACACTTTGGACCAGAACCTCAAATTCAGTGGGCTGCCTCACCGTGTAAATAATAGTAATAATATCACACGCTGTTATACATCATATCCTAAGATTTTGGCAATGCCTCAACTGAGACACCACCAGACGGTGATGCAAATGGCAACATCAGCGCCGCGCAAGCTGGTGCAGTGGCGAACGTGACAGACGCTAAGTCAACCAGCTGCTCGTGAATTTTTTTTGTTTAAAGGACTGGCTCTCACCGGCTTACATGTAAACCGGCCAGGCGGCTCAGGCGGGAGAGTAAATCGCTCGAAGTCGAAAGGTCGTGAGGTTCAAATCCTGGTTCAGGCGTCGACTTTTCAAATGTTCAACGGGAAATTAAGTGCCGATGAAGAGTGAGCGAGTGAGCGCTTCTTGGAATTTTCCTTTGTAACAATGGAGCCTCGGAATCAGAATCATTCTTCAGTTATACTGGAGGGAATCCGATGAGCTATAAAAGCTATTTTTTCACAGATGTCCAGTAGGGGCGGGTCAGAATGTAACAACAAACATTTCAAAAACACAATAGGGGTGAAAAGTGTAGGAAAGGTAAGCAAATCAATACAAAATATATACAAATAAAACTTAGCTATTTTATTGTATCAGGTAAAGGCCACTGAGCTATTAGCTTCTTTTTCAGAAGCTACCTGGTCACAAATAATAACGTGTTCTTTGGTTCTTTCGGCAAAGTCACGTAGATAGACGATCCCTTGTGTTGTGATCGAAACGTCGTAGTTTTATTTTATCTACTTTTATTTTTTCTATCTACGTGACTTTACCGAAAGAACCAAAGAATATGAATTCCTGCAGTCACGAAAGTTGTACGTCAAAATTGAATAACAAAGTGGCTTATCGTGTGGAGATTTACAGTAGCCAAATTATCTAAATAATCTTAACCCATGTTTCTTCAAAGTGGAATACAACGTTACAGCGCATGTTGCCGTTGCTCTGGTTCTCTTTCCAGTCGACCACTTTCACAACGTGAAGCTCAATGCCTCCTGGGTGATGCTAAAACGAGGCGATATGTTTTCTGTCCTCTGCGAGGTCAATTCCGTCAGGCCAAGTCGGCCACTGAAGTGGACCGCCAGCTCTACAAATGTGAGGCATTACCCACTCATCAATTGCCTGCTTTTCAGCAAATCGTCATTATCTAGGCGAAGTCATCCCCATGGCCTGATCGCCCTTTGTGGGTTCTTGCAATGCCACGATCCGTCTCGCTGTAGCGCATGAGGCGATCTCCTCATCACTCCATCGCACATTGGTGTCATCCTCGAGGTTGTGTTTGTCACTATAAAGCCAGGCGTCTGTTACAAATGTCCTCATGGGAAAATAGTGCGTTGTTTGTTTTCAGACATGTATTTGAATGTTGTGTTTAGGTGTCGTACGGCATGAAACAATTTAACAGTGTAGATAATGGCTACTATCGGACGGAGTGCCTCTACATCACATCGGTGCACCCGGATGACGCCGGCAGCTATACTTGTTACAGCGTAATAAGAATGGAAGGAAGGAAATACAATTACAAAAATGCAACAGTCGAACTGGTCGTTGTAGGTAAGCTGTGAGAGTGTACATTATTATTGTTGTCAAGCTTTTGCACCGCTCCATCACCAGAGATTATATGAATTACGGATGAAAGACCATCTAAACGTAACACAATAACAATCATTCGCAGCATTGTGGAATATATAAATACAAAAATGTGGCTGAAGGGATGCGTAAAAGTACGTATATTCACAAAACAAATAAGCAGATGATACACCTTACCATGTCCGTCCCTCCACGTAAAAAATAAACCCATTGCTGCCGTAATACCCGTACACGCAACACCTACGCCACCAGCTTGAATGTACACGATATTGCGTTCTGCATGAGTGTTCATTGCGAGTGTTGGTCTGTTGCAGATGACGGCTTCATTAACGTAACAAAGCAAAGCTCCGATACCCACAAAATCTTGAAGGAGGGGGATTCTACAACCCTGGAAGTGGAAATGGTGGCCTATCCACCCATCACCCACTGGGCATGGTACCACGGCGAGGAGCTGGTCAATGAGACCGAGCATACTGAGAAGTCATCCGTCGACGACAGACACAGGTGCGTGCGTGCATGCGTGTGTATTTTCAACGAGAAGCAATTACGTAAAGGACTTGGCCATTGCTAATCCTAATTCGTTTGAGAGGTTTATCATTCCTGCTTGACCCAACACTCCATTCCACGTGCTTTCTAAGCTCGAATGAGCATGGGGTGGCACTAAATTTCCTGTTTGCAGCTCTGAGCCAGATATGAGCATTCCATATTTCTCTGGTGGGACTGAGTCTATCCAGAGGGTACCTGCCGTATCTGTGTTTGACTTACCGCATCATTTCCAGAAGCTTCATACAGAGCTGAGAGACGACACCATAGCAGGAGCTGAACTCACAACCGTTTGGCGGCAAGGACAGACATTCTCAACCGTTGTGCATCACCGCTGAATAACATTGTGGTCCTGTGTAATTATTACTGTGGCCATGTTTCACAATTATAAACATTGCATTGTTTACTCAGGAAAACTTTTTTTTCTAAAGAGGGCCCTACTCCGTTGTAATGTGTGTCCAATTCCGATGTTTATTATTTGGAATTAAGCCAGAGTACCTGGAGAAGACCCATCACACACATACGAGGGAGTGACACTCAGCAAGCACTGCCCTCTCCTCGCCTCATGCCTACAACATCTGCCAAACCCTGGGGGTCACCCATCCAAGCAAGGCGGGATGTGTGTAGGGTGATTTGGTCATATTTTAGCTGGTGCGAATTGCTGTCAAGTATCCAGGCCAAGCAACTGCACCGGGGCCCGTGGGCTGGAGGGACCCAGGCAGTGGGCCACAGAGAGGGAGTGGCTTTAGCCATTGTTAGGGGTAGGGTTTATTTCCTGCACAGTGGCCCATGCCAACATTGCTATGTTGCTCATTTGAGCAGTCGTGGTTGATTAGAGATAAACTTAGGGAGCTGCATTTTTTAGGCTTGCCCAAAGTTGCGCTATCAATCGTGGACATTAAACGCCATATTTAAGCACTTCTTGGACCATGTTCTCTTTTCACTAAACCCCACAGGTACAAGTTCGAGCTGAATCTGTTACGAGTCAAAGCCAATGAGAATGGGGAATACTCCTTCTTCGCTCAGAACGCCGACCGAAATATCTCAGTGCCCTTCTGGATCTCTGTTACAAGTATGCTAACTTCTACGATTTATTCTGAAGTTATTTACCGTTGATAATTTGAACTGCCCTACTACAATTTTCGATTTCTTCAAAGTGTTCATCTCTCTCTCTCTCGCTCTCCTTCTTCGTGCAGGCCAAATAATCCGCCCAAAAACGGTCCATGTGACCGACACATCGTCCATAACTGCTGTCATCGCGGTGACATGTGTGCTGCTTGTCGGATTCATTGTGCTTCTCTACAAATACAAAACTGTGAGTATTGGGGACTGCCACACAACGCAGCACAAGTTAGGATTTTTAACATCAGGCTTTCAAAGTGAACAGCAGGACGACCCTGAATTGCGGTACTATGAATCCTGACAGCTGCCAACTGTTCCCCTTTCAGCGACCCAGGTACGAAATCCGCTGGAAGATGATTGAAGCAGTAAACAATGGAAACTCGTACATTTACATTGACCCAACGCAGCTACCGTACGACGACAAGTGGGAGTTTCCACGAAATAAGCTTGTCTTTGGTGAGCTTAAACAAATTGTATTGTAATTAAAGTACTTCTACGCCAATGTACAGGGTAGTCCAGGTGTCTTGCGACCACTCATTTAATTATCTAACACTTAAATGTTTTTAAAGAGAGGTTTTATTAAAAACAGAAATGACTTTGAAAATGAAAAAAATGTTAGGAGTCAATTTATTAATTGGAGTCACAAGACATCTGAACCATGCGACATTTTAATTTGTGGACTGCAGAATAAAACGGTTTGATAAATACCATAAAGTTCTGGCCCTGCTTACTCACACCACTACCGGCAGAAGGGCCTCCACTCGGCTGAACTCCAGAGGGTGGTGAGTTCCAGGCCGATGGACCGCTGACCACGAAGCTGCGATATATCCATCTCACTGCACTTGCCAGGAGCTAGTGCCCCAGGCTGCTCCCACTTCCATAGATATAATAATGCTGGTACTGAGTTGAAAAATAATTTTAGTTGTATATGCATCTACTGTCTGTTGAGTCGTAATTGTACTTCGCACCTCCGATTTCCTCGTGCCTCCGATGAGCACGATTGTCAACGTGCGGTGCGAAAGAAGTACAGCGTATACTTAAAATGCCCGGGAGTCGCAATGCTTTCGCGAGCCATGGTGTGGCCACGTCCGCCGTAGCATGTGGTCGCTGGTGGTTGGCACGTGCAATGCAGACGAGGCCTGAGCTCACCGTTTCTCGCAGGGAAACTACTGGGCTCCGGGGCCTTTGGCAAGGTCGTGAAGGCCGCAGCGCACGGCCTTCTCAATGAAGACACTTCCACCAACGTGGCTGTGAAGATGCTTAAACGTACGTAGACTGGCTGAGCCACCACCCTCCCCACGCGTCGCTTTGTCGAAAGGGAAACCTCGCTTCTTGAAGGAGCCACAGCAAGCGCACAATAACCGGTGGCACGTGCCGCGTGCATTTAACGTTCTGGAGAAACCATTTCTCGTAATTCGTGCAAGAAATAACGCGGTCCATCGCTCATTCGGTCACTTGAGTTCTCTACCTAAAGTTCCCTCCATCCTTGTGCCTCCCCATGCATTTCCCCATACGGCCTCACATTTCTTCGCATCACTGATCAATGCGTTCTTGTCTCTACGTCGTGGTAATTCCCCCTCCTACCTCCCCAAGCTTCGTTCAGCAAGTCTCGAACTGCAGTGCGGCCCAGATGTCTCTGTGATCCCCCAATTAATTGAACACTTTTTTCATTTGCATATCCATTCATGTTTTAATTAAACGTTACTTTAAAAATACTTAAGTTTTTAGAAAATTAAATGTGGGGGGGGGGGGGGGGTCACAAACCATTTGGACCACCATGTATATTAACAGTCCAAATATTTTCCATCTGTGAATTGTTAGAGTTAGAGTTCAACTTCTTTCCTCCTGAACCCACTCTCACATCTGCGCTTTTCCCTTTTTTAATTCCATGCCAATGATGTTCTCCATTTGGTGCCGCATCCACACATCAAAGCTTTCCAGTCTTCTTATCGCATCTTCCTTCCTCAGCGTTCCCATCACCGCCAAATATAGAAAACCACGCTCCATGCTGGAGTCTTTACAAGTCTCTTCTGAGATGCCATGTTCATCCATCTTATTAGCAGTTCTTCTGTTCTTGCTGAATGCTGCTGCCGCTTTGGAAATTGGAGCTCTGGGCTTCTTGTAGCCTCTGCCATCTTCTCTCAAAACGCTTCCGAAGATCCAGCACTTGCACTGTCTCTCTCGCCTGTTCTCGCTGTTGTTTACCTATAATTACAACCTACTTCCACTTATCAAGTGGATTCTGGAGAGAGAGAGAAAAAAAAACGGCCAATATATCCATCCCCTTCAATTATGTTTCAACACCAATTCGCAGCAGTGAACATTCATTGGCTGTCGCTCAGGGAGAATAGTCGAGTTGTTTTGGCTTCTACGGCCTGATGTGGTTCAGGAGCCCAATGTCTGTGGCACACACTTGGCCACACACAGGGCATGTGAGGTCTGGGGTTGCTGCAGTTGGTTGTTGAGGGCAAGGACTTCGGTGTTCAGCTGCACATTCACATTCGGCTGTCCTGAGGTCTTTGCTCCCAATCGTCCATAGATTGAGACTAATTATACACGGGTCCTGGGTTTGAAGTTAGACTGCACGCAGTGACGTTGTCACCTGAACGGCACTGGCGAGAAAGGGGATGGGAAAGAGGATCAAACTTTCTCTTATTACTGGCTCCAGGACCCGTGTGTTGAGTTTGGTGTTGCGAGGCAAAGACGGGGGTGTGGGATCAGATAGGATGGAGGAAATATGAGCCAGGGTCCTCCTACCCCTGTGCAAGAAACTAAAAAGGAAGGAATAATTAAATATACATTAACTTCGCCTTTTTGGACAGATGGTAGTTTTTTTACTCACCTCAATCAAGAACAAGCCAGAGATTTTGCAGTGCTGTTAAATCAGCTGTGGCTTTTGGGTGATCATACATTCGACTACTATACGACCTTTTTATCAGTATAAAAATAGTGAGGGGAAAAACAAGAATAGGGTTTACCCTATTTGGCAATAAAACAGGAGGTGTTAAGATGTTCAAACACCAAATGCCTATTGTAAGGCATCAAGTCTGCATTAACCACCAAACGTTTTATTCATAATATAATCAAATACTGAACACAAGTCTTGACCGGTCCATTCTTAAACATTTCTTGAAGAACCGTGTTGAATGGGTGCAACAAATTGACTCCACAGTATATGTACCGTAGTCCTGCGTGTGAGTCCAAATCCTGGTTGGTGGTTGACTCAGCCCATCGTCCCTCAGTGGTCTTAGCACTCTGTGGAGAAATCTACAGTGGTTGTCCTAGAGACAGATTCACCCCCCCCCCCCCCACCACCACCACGGCGCCAAAGGAATGTGGAATTTCCACTCCTGACTCAGGGCTGGGCTGTAAATTGAAGATGAGCTCATTTGGGCCAAAAATCACTTTGACATAAAAAATATATATAGACATGAAGTAGGGTCACACAACCCACATGATGAACAGGGCATGGGAATACCTTCATACAACAAGTGCCGTAAATGTATCAAATTAATTATCTGTGTGTGGTTGGTTTGATTTCACCAGCCGGTGCTCACTCCAGTGAGAAAGAGGCCCTAATGTCGGAGCTGAAGATAATGAGCCACTTGGGTCATCATCTGAACATCGTTAATCTGCTGGGGGCTTGCACCGTTGAAGGTCAGCTCAGACGCCGCCGTTTAACACATTACTGCGGAGGGGGCTGGTAGGAGCGTTGGTTGCTTGGTCAGTGGCCAGGGTCAACGGCGGCACGTGGTGTATTCCGCAAAAATGTCCGACTGTGAGGGGGGGCACCACGGGGTGAACAACCCCTCCCGAACCAGCCCCACCCCACCCAGCACAACCCCTCCCACCCCCCACCCAGCCCCTCCCCACCCAGCCCCTCCCTACCCTCCCCTCTCCACCCAGCCCCACCCCTCCCACGTGGACAGACATCCACAGACATACACAATTAATCCCCTGCCTCCTGTGAATTAATCCCGATTGGGCTTCCAGTCCACTACGTTTCCTACCAGTAATACCACGCCTGTAACGATATCCGATCAGGCAACTGATTACAATCTGCTGACGTGGTTGAGGTGGTGCTTCGTCTTCTTCTTAACGTACGGCTGATGTAGATGCAGAGCAATAACAACAGCAACAACAACAGTTTCACATCCAGGTGGTCAAGCCTGATAACTGTGTCAGGAGCAGCAGAGTGTATCCCTGTGATGTCTCCTTCGTGTTTTTGGATCGGGCATTGTGTCGTTATATTTGGTATGGTCTGCGCTGGATTATCAGTCGCACGCTGGAGATTTATAAATACTGTATTCCATTTGTGCTCCAGGTATCCGCGGTGCAGTAGTTAACATGCTGCACTGTGAACGCGGCGAACCGAGTTCGATTCTTACCCAAGACGAACATCAGTCAGTGCCCTGGGCAAACTTGGCAGCCCACATTTTGCGTGCTTTTTCGATAGTACCTATCTCTGGCTTCATTGAGACACTTAACACTACAATATTGATGTTATCTTCATTGTGTATTGTATCACCTCTCCACAGATGACTCTGTAACTCCCCTCAACAAAACCTGACTTTGTGGATGATGTCCTTTCTTGGGTCATCACATTATTTGTTGGATACCTCTCAAATATGAGCAGTTTGCATATATTCATTTGTTCTTTGATGCCCAATCTTGATGATGTTGTTGTAGGTCCGACTTTGGTCATCACTGAGTACTGCTGCTTTGGAGACCTCCTCAACTTTTTGCAGAAGAAGAAAAGTGACTTCAGCCTCGAGATTGTGAAGAATAAATTGTCTAACTACTCCAATATGCAGTCGATAAAGAACTTCCTAAAGTAAGGCACAGCAAAGCAATGGATAATCTACCACACACAAATGCGAAGATATTTAAAGATAATTTGACTTTCGTGATTAAACCTGTGACTGGGATAGCGCAGTAATAGTGGTATCAGAACCGGTCCTACCATTTCCCCCCCTTCAGCAACCTATGCTGACGAGCATGGTGAAGTATAGTCAAAAACCCTCCATGACACGTGGCATGTGAAGGCCTTCATTCATTGATGGATTAAGAATTATTAGAATGTTTATTTTATTTTATGTCTGTTATTCGGTTAAACATACGCAGAGGTGCACGGCAATTCTGGGAGGTGCAGTTCTTCAACGCTAACGTAGGATGACTGATTTAATGTTACACGTGTTTGTTTCCAAGTCTGAGAGAGACCAAGGCAGAGAGCAATGACTACTGTCAGATGAATGCAAGTATGGCCCAAGTGGACTTCCCAGAACGTGCTGGTGCAATGATGGACTATGTGGAATGCAAGAGCCTGGATGGTATGTACCGTGTATCATAACAGCAATAAGCATAGACTTACAAACAAATACCAGCCTAGACTTAAAAATCTGAGATTGCCTGGTGATTACATTTTAAAAAGTAATAATAATCAGTAGTGTGGCTTTTCTAAAAGCAGCACCTTCGATAAATTTATATCCAGCATTAAAAGCTGGCACATTTTTGGGATCAATAGATATTTGGGAGAATACAGCTGTCAACTTAAAATTTGATTCACATATTTCACGTGCTTTGAAAAACATAGCTTTTGGTTGAATTCTGTTTGGACATCTGTGTAACGGTGATTGCTTCCCTGTTTTTGACCTTATTGATTTTCCAACGCATAATGTTTCTCTGTGGTGTTGCGTTATTACAGATGGCAAAAATGCACTGCTGGCAGAGATGGAGGAAGCTGACAACCTCCCTTTGGACCTTCAAGATCTTCTCAGTTTTGCTCTCCATGTTGCCAAGGGAATGGCCTTCCTTTCCTCAAAGAATGTGAGCTAATATTTTGGGCAGAAATATATATATTTTTTCTCTCACAATAAATAGCTCCACTTCGTACATAAATGGAAAATCATTTGTAGTGACGGCTCTTTGGATCTATAGATTTACGCAGTTTTGTTCTATATTCACATTTATTCTCCAGTCCGTCAACACAAAATTGGAAGCAGAGAAAAAATATCAACACCGGTCAATGCTCTTCAATAATTCTTCAAACTCGTAATTTAAACCACCCACCCACATTAATGTTTTAACCCCGACTAATAATATTGTATGAATATATGTGTCTGTATGTATGTTGATTACTTTGCACCGTACATAGTCAACGACGCTAATCTTTGGGGCAGACAGAGGAAGAAGGTCTGAGAGGATAAGCTCTGAAGAAAGTCCTTTGCCCGGAAAGCCAGTCTATCCTCTATTTTCCCTTATAAGGCAGCATTAATAACGAATGTGGTGAGGTTATGTTTTTTCAGCTTTGCCTGCGCAGCAATGTCCGTTCAGTCCCTAATTTCCTTCTTCGTCTCATCACTTCTTTTATTCCTGTTCAGATGAGACATTTTGCAACCGACAATATTTATGTGCAAACGTATTGTGTCGAAGCAAACCGTCGCGATTCATTTGAGCTCACGGAAGTGGGTTTTTCCTTAAAAGTAACAACGTAAAAATGAAAACGTTTGTTTAACTTTGGCAATGTCGTCACACATTGCAACGTTATTCACTGGCACAGCGCTGACAATAAAGGGGAGGTCGTTGATTTGAAGATGCAAGGAAAAGCAGGTGAAGACGGTCTACTGTCGTGCCAACTAATGGGAGGCAGAGAGAGAACGCGGCGTTTGCACGTGGGATTTTGTGGCTGTGCTCCTTAGCTCTCCGATGTGTTTTTGGGTCATGCCGCACGTTGTTTGGCACGATGTCCGACGTTTCGCTCCACTTGCTAGGCGCTTCTATAGGAACTGGAGAGCTTTCTTCTTCAGTTTCTTCTTCAGTTCCTGAAGGAGCTCCCAGCACGCAGAGCGAAACGTTGAACATCATACCGAACAATACGTGGCAGTACAACTCCACGAAAATGCATCGGAGAGCTATTGCATCGCTCGCTGAAGCTAACGGAACGGAAGGCAATGGGCGACACTGATAGAGAGGGAGTAGAGGATTTTTTTTTAAATTACGACCAAGGTTTTTGCGGCCAGGTAAATGGGAACGTAGTCTACGGAATCTCTGTGGTGTTGTTTCGCACAGGTTTGCAGATGAATGTTTCGCCGAATTACAGCACATTGAGAAAACTATCATGTGCACGGAACACACACTTCCTTTTCCGAGAAGTCATTTTGTGATTGCGAAAGAACCAAGCATGTTGCAATTTCCCGTAGAAGGTAATGGTGGAGCGATTGTGGTCTGTCAGTGTTTGCAACTGTTCCAGACAACATATTCCCCATTGCCCAGCTGTAAAGACACTTTAAGAACGGGTTTATCCGATGAAGCCAGCCCTGGCAGAAGTTCTCATTTCCATTTACTGTCATCTAGGAATGTATCGATTCAACCTCCCCAGTCATTCACGTGCAAGATTACATTTTAAAATCAAATCTTTTTTTGTTTTTACCGTCGTATTTGCATTGTTTCTCGTATATTTTTCTCCGTATTATTTTTCAGCCTGTAACTTCCCACTGCTGGGCAAGGCTTCCCCCATCTCCTTCCCTTCCTTCCAAATGTATAACATAACGGGAGCGGTGGCACGGGTGGTTAGTTAGTGAGATGCGCTACGAACCTGACAAACTGAGGTAGATTCCCGGCCATGGCTAACATCAGTGTCGAGTGATATATGAACCGGTCCTGGGAATGCCCTTCACCAACCCGCACTGACCAGAGTGGTGAACTATGGTCAAATAACCCCCGTAACCCACACGAAGCGTTAATTAACAAACGGCTGTAAATTAACATATGACAATTTTATAATCTCTGAGTTTTGTCAACCATTTTAAAGCTGAATATGCCAATAAAATATATAGCCTCTGGCTCTGAAACTGTACAGTACCAATCCAAGCAGCTTTCACATATCGTGTTGTCTTGGACACCAAAATAATTTGACCTTATTGGACTGCATCGTAATTAACATGAGACTGAATATACATAACTGTGTGAGCTACTCTCAGTTCCGTGGCATTCTGCCTAATCTTTTGTTTCAGACGTTTCCTGGCCCCTCTGATGAGGCAAACTAAATGAACTAAATCCACGCATGAGGCATTTTCACACCACGGCAAATAATTATATCCACAGAGAGTGAGGGAAGGAACCGGCGTGAAGCTGTCACATTCTGAACGTGAACGCGCATGACTTGTGATATTCGAGCACAGAACAATTTAAGAACTTGGGTGGATCAGAGTAACGTCAGGTTCGATCGTTGCCATCTTTCTCCGACAGCACAGACAACAACAAGGGGCCTGTCTTCAGCCAATCAGCGACTAAGTGACGCTCGCGTCATCTCCCATGCATGGGTTCTCACATTTCGTCTTGTTTCAGTATCGCGTGTTAGTAATACAGTCAACACATTGAGCCCGGTGTGATTTTTTCCACTTGCAGTAAAAGAGCGTGCCCAGTGAGAAACCTTCATGCCAGGATTGGAGTGACTATGGCAGCCAAGCGTTTTATTTATAGAGTAGGAAGAAAAAAAAGTCCCTGAATAATATACAAAAAATCCTCGAAGTAATTTTAGTAAAATATGCAGACCCCTGCTGCATCACCCACGCAAATGCATGCTGCACAACTCCTCAAGTGGAATTGTCGAGAGACATTTCAAAGTTATGTTATATCTTTTACGATCATTCTAAATTACCTTTATTTATCCAAGAATGCCTCGTGGAGCCTCTCGAAAGGGTCCTGCAATGATGGAATTGTGTCAATTATTCCGATGTGTTACGCAGAGTTGACGCATGGGACTGAAATGTCACACACTCCTGTCTGTTCCAGTGCATCCATCGTGACCTGGCTGCTCGGAACGTCCTGATTACGAGCGGCCGTGTCGCCAAGATCTGCGACTTTGGCCTGGCTCGAGACATCGACAACGACTCCAACTACGTCATCCGTGGGAACGTGAGTCCACGGCTTGAGTCACGGCCTGTCTTTGGTCACAGCCCGTGTCGCACGGCCCACACGATTGTTTGATACTGCACAACCACAAGTGACTTATGAACTGTTAACTGAAGGATATTAATCTGGAAAGATTTTTGTACGAACATAATTTCTGGCAGGAGCTGACTGTGTATAGTCCAGCCTCCAACTATTAATCCTTCTCTCTGCTATGATGAAGAGCCATTGCCCAAAACGTCTATTTTTATATATAGTCCTCTTAATGGCAGTGCTATTGACGAATATGTTGAGTTTGTTTTAATACATTAAAGTCACACCCCTTATCCCTGTACACTTTAAAATAGGTGAGGGTTTTTTTTAAATCAAACTTTAAGGGGATTTTTTTTTCATATATATAGAACGTTGTAAGAACCATCACACATTGTTATTATTGGTTCTTTCGGTAAAGTCACGTAGAAGGGAAATAATAAAATAATAAAAATAAAACATAAAATTCTCATGACGTTTCGGCCACAACGCAAGCAGCCGTCCTCAGGTGAAGAATCAGAGCTGTCGGAAAGACAACGTCCTAATCGAAATTCATCACACATTGCTTCAGATTTTAAAAATATAATTTTACATAGTCAGCACGACATGTATGGAACATGGCACATGGCAATAATGTCACTTCAAATAGACCTATTTCTCCAAACACGAGACAGCGATCGATCGTGCTGTGTAAATAACTGTCTACCACCCGTCAATCATCCGGTGCACTCATAAATGTGAGCCCCTGGAAATAGGAGAGGCTCATTTATATGAAAAACACATTTCATGAGCATATTTTGACCTGCTGTCAGTGAGCGGGCTGAGACCATACAATGGCCACTGCCATTACATTTGAGAACACATTTAATCACGGGTGGCTGCCCAGAATTGAACACAGGATCTCACCTCGGTACTCTCTCTTTGGTATTAGCCCCCCTGGGTGAGCCAGCTACCACATGTTTAAACGGCAACGCATATCAGACCTTTACCGGTGTCTAAAGGTTCTGAGAATCCTCGTCTCACTATTGTATTGCTTTAAATGAGAAGTAATAGAGTTGTGTTGAGGAGGAGGTAGGTTTACTTGGAACAATCATAGACGGTGAAGGATCTGGTTTGGCAATGTTGTCAGAGACAAATCTGGCTAAATGGAGATCTCGAAGATTGTTGCGGCAATGGACACGGAGTAGATATAGCCTGGTGCTGCTTGATGAATTGAAAAAAACGGGCACTTAAAACCAACAACCTGCCCCTTGGGCAGAGAACTCAAGGAGGAGGTTCTGACTGTCTCTGTGTCTGTGTGTGCTGTGTTCACACGTGGCAGGCTCGTCTTCCCGTCAAGTGGATGTCCCCGGAGAGCATCTTCCACTGCCTGTACACAGGCCAGAGCGACGTTTGGTCCTATGGCATCCTCCTGTGGGAAATCTTCTCTCTCGGTGACAGACAACACTCATTCCCACCTTCACAAGGAAATTATCATCTTAGGGAAAAAATGCCTTGCTGTGTGATGTGCATCAGCCTGACGAGACGGGGGTGCTATGTATGTATGTATGTTGAACTTCTTTCGCAATATTATGTACTGGGGCCCCAAAGTTACCTCAACGTGGCTGGTAGAGCAGCTTGTAGGCTAATGGAAATTCTAAATCTGGAAAATTAAAATAAAAACTTAAAAAAAAATGTGGCAATAATAGGGAGAGATGTATTTTCGCTTAAAGATGGAATTCATTAGCAAATTGTCAGACATTTTGAAGGACAGTTTCTAACATGCAAAAAGAACACTTAGAGCACTACATTCTTGCCTGTAACATTTTGGCTGAGAACACATTTTTAAATAAAGCAATTTATCAATTTATAATAGTATGCAATTTGAAGTACATTACCATTTAGTCCATACAATACTACAAAGTATATAGTATTGGTTCTTTCGGTAAAGTCCAATAATATGAATCCCTGCAGTCACGAAAGCTTTAAATCAACATTTTACAAAGTATATGTTTCGACCAGTAGTTTGTGTGTTGTGCTATGAACCCAGTCACCCGAGTTTGATTCCCAGCCATGACTAACATTAGTGGCAAGTGATCTCTTAACAGGGCCTAGCTCCAAAGGTGTGTAAGTTATTACAAGAGAAGTCTTGTTATCTGCGGCCCTATTACCAGTGACTCCTATTATCTGTGGTAGCTGTAAAAATCTGATCAGCGACCTTATTCATCCCGTTATCTGCGATTAATATTTTCCGATTCTGTATTACAGAATAGCTTCCTATTATTTTCAAGGTTTTCATGGATAAGAGGTGCGTAGAATAATTAATCCGATAACGCGCGGGTTACGAGCGTTTATTTCAAAACTCAGGAGCCGATATCAAAATATTCTACCTCAGTATCACCACAGATAAGAGGAGATCTACTCTGTTCATTATGTATAATTCTTAATGTTATATGTGTACCACTTGTCCAATGCCATGTGTTGGATTCTGATAGGTGAGACACCCTACAGTGGCATCAGAGTGGACTCCAGCTTCTACCAGATGATCCAAGAGGGATACAGATTGCCGCCACCAAGATTCAATACAACTGACATGTATGTCATTCATCAAGCGAACATGTACTTTGCTATTGTACTTTGACTGTGGTGGGGATACGCATCATTACTGTTACCAGACATTCTATTGCACTGCTAGATATAGATTTTTGTTTTATTTTCTGGCAGATACAAAATAGCACGCGAGAAACACTTCATTTAAAAAAATGATTACAGAAATAAATGTTAAATCCCATTCGTATGTATGCACGTATGCTGCAGTGGTGTAAATACTTAGCAATCCAGAGGTCGCCGGCATGGCACTTGAAGCAATGAGGAAGCTTCCTCAATCCTCCCGCCTCTGTCCACCCAGCAGTATAAATGGGGAGGCCACAGCTATTCGATCAGTAGGTCACATGTGGTGGGGTGAAGTGGGGAAAACTGCGGGTACCTGTACTCCCATCTGACCAGCACGAAAGAGTAACGGTTGCATGAGCAAGTAATTGCACGGCTACATCTCTACTTTTGCCCAAGTATAAACAAATGTATGTATGTACGTCGCCAAACGCACAAAACAGGGGTGCGATTAGCACGCATTAGATATTATTGTCAATCAGCTGGCAGAATTGTGAATGTATTTTGTTTACAAAAAGTGCAAAAATTATCGTGAAATAAAAAATAACTAAATCTACTCTATACGTTATTTATCTACAGGTACGAACTGATGCTGGCTTGCTGGAATGCGGAACCGGTGGAGAGACCCACGTTTGATCAGCTGGTCGATTTAATTGAACGACAGTGGTCGTACAGGCACTCGTGCAAGGAAGAAACTCTTCAATAGCATCGTTCTCCGAGGGGCCAGTGGTAGAGCGAGCAGATCGAGATCTGAAGGTGGAGAATAAAAAAACATGGTCGGGGGTTGATGTGGCCCATCGCACCTCAGGGGTTGTTAAAATCGGTGCCACTCTATGATCACGTGGCCCAGGGCTGTAAACGGGAGACGAACACCACTTCAGTATTCATTTGAGTCAAAATTACTTCAACGTTGGAGTACTGCATCAGCATTACGTGTATTTAAACTTTACTGCACTTGAGCCCTAGTCTGCTGAATTCTAATTAATCTTCACATTCTCCACGGAGCCAGAGTCCAGTTCATTTAGAAAACACACTCATGCATTTTAATTTACTCGGTGAAGATTCATATCGGCAATAAATGGCTACATTCTGATGTCCAAATCCGCAAAAATAACATGCATTTATATTCTTAAGAGAATAGTGAATGTAGCCATTTCATTCATGCACTTCATATTTTCCTCATACGTGAGCTGCCAGATAATGTAATTAGCGTTATGTGCTGCTCTTACCGATGTGGGGGGGGGGGGGGGGGGGCGGACACCAGTTTCAAAGGGGCCTGGGAAATATCGACCACAACAAATGTTGTCGATCAAAAATTATCGTCAGTAAGTCGACTTTGCATTGACCCATCGTGCCATCTGTACCGTTCTTTACAAGCAGCATCGCTCAAGCAGCGTTTACAACCCCGGTTCCTTTCGCACGTTAAGTGAAGCCAAATCGTGTCATTTACCAGACTTATGCACAACACGTCGATTTGTGTTCCCGACTTAACACCTCAACTCCGCTGCCTGGCTCCTCTCCACCCATCCACCCTTTCAATATCGTTCTGCTCTCTCTGCCTTTGGCCCTCTCTCTCTCTCTGAATGCCTACCCTCTATCTTTCTTGCTGTGCTCATTGACTCTCCGATCCTTTATTATCTCCGCACTGATATATCTAACAATACTGGAGTAGTCTAATTCCGCCACACTGCAACTGAATAGGGCATCACCCCTGGCAAATGAAACACATGGAACCGCCAGCGGGATTGGTCGTTTTCCACAGATATGAATTGCGAAAAAATTTAAGTTGCACTGCTTCAACCTAGGAACTCACTGCCTTTAACTGTGGTAATACATTTAATATACAAATAATAATAAAAAACTCATAATCCATCAGCCTTAACGCACGATATTGAGCATCGCAAAGAGACATCCCTCATGGATGGGAGACAGCCTCTGCTGTAGAATGTGCAAAGTATGAATTGCTTCCATATCCCATGTCAACTGTCTGTTTTTGGCTTAATTGCATCAGAACAGAGTGCTCTGTCAAGTTAAGTGGCTGTCTAGGCCAACAGGTGAATCAACACAGTATGGCACGTGACTCTTGTTTCAATTATGTACGGTTTTTTTTCATAACGTTTATGGTATAAATTGTTTCTTCAAACTTTCGTGACTGCAGGAATTCATATTTTTATTATTTTTCTATATACGTGACTTTACCGAAAGAACCAAAGAATGTGTATGGTATACTTTTGTTTTCATAGTAACAATATTAATGCACTTAATATATTTCGAAGATGACATTTGCACTGTGGTGATTTCATACATTAGTTACTAATTTTATTAACATACAATATGATCACTGATAGTTACTGTAATTTACGTGAAATTAAGATAACATAGATTCGTCAAATGGTATTTAAGCTAGTGGAAATACAAATTTGTACTGACATTTTATAGCTTGTCACAAAAGCATTACAGTATTCGCTAATGATGCATTACTGGTACAGTTTATGAGTAATGAATATCGATTTATATGATCACAACAAGCTTTACATGGTAATTTGTAAAGCATACTTTTGTAATGGAACATGATATATCTGAAACTAATGATGACAAACATCATTGGAGTAATACATCTCATGCTGTCGTAACGTGGTTTTAATGCAACTTTTGTCTTTGTTGTACAATGTTGTGTTAGATCCATAATTTGCTTTTCGTCTTCGGCAAAGTATTTCACTGATATATATTTTTTTAAACGTCTATTTTCTAAGCTTGTAACTGTAAGCTTGAATAGTGTCTGAGGTTTGTCAGTTTTTAATTATCACACGTTTTATAATTTCGTGTTTTTTTTACATTCGTGGATTATCAACACACCACCAGGATATTAATCAGATCACTTTGATTTTTAACACCGGGCTGTTGAGGGAATATAAGTGCTGGTCTAAGGTTAGGACGATTTAAAGATGTATCTCAAATGCTATGAATGGAAGTGTTATTTCAAAATAGATTTGTAGCTTAACTGACACCGACAATTAATGGCGAGTCCAGTACTGTAAACCTGTTTGGAGTAGAAATAGGTGTTTTAATACACCGATAACTTGATTTTTTCAAACTTTCAAATGTTTTACTGGACATATTGAACTCTTGTTTTAAAAATGAACTTAAGTCTTTTTTTCACACACTATCTTCGTTTTTCACCAAAAAAAAGATAAAATGTATTTTTCAGTATTTTTTTTTCTTTTTGTATCGTTAAATATCCAGTATTCATATTTTTACCCAAAAGTTGTACAATATTAAATAAACAGCAAAACATATTGTCAGCTCCGTTTACTTTTTATCTAAATTTCCCTTTCAAAAATAACATGTTCAATTCATGACTTCTTTGGTACCGTTTAGTCTTATTTATATATCCGACCTATTTCACATACAGTAATGTCTTTTATACAATCTCAATGCGATACATTGCTGCTTTGGCAAGGGAGACCTGGATCCAATTTACAGGTGTAATTATTTATCCCCTCGCGACTCAATTAACTGTCGTGACTGCATTATACTTTGATGTTTAAAAATCCATTATTTTTTTAAGTGTGGTAAAGTGGCATTCTGTGGTTGGATCACGCGCGCCCATGACATTTACGAATAAAAAAAACACTTGAGTTCGGTCATGGCTAACATCAGCGGCGAGTGATATCTAAACCAGTTCTGATTTCTCCCTTCACCAGTCCGCATGGACCAGCGTGAAGTATGGTCAAACAACCTCCACCACTGACAGTTTGTGGAGGCCTTCATCCAACAGTAGATTGACGAAGTTCATATTATTTGGTTCTTTTGGTAAAGGCACGTAGATAGAAAAATAATAAAAAAATAAAGTATTTTTATTATTATAAAAATACAAATATTTTATTGTTTCCCTTCTACGTGACTTTACCGAAAGAACCAAGACTATGAAAGCTTTAAAAAAAATAAAGTAAGTAAAAATGAAAAAAATTCAATAAAAAATATATAAAAATCATTCATGTAGACTGTAGCCTGGTTCTTAATAGGAGTGTACTGGCAGTCTATAATGTAGACTGTAGCAATTGTTATTACGCTGGGTGAACGTACTAGCGGTCTATAATGTAGACTTATTGTTGGTTCTTTTAGTAATAAAAAAAACGACGTTTCGATCACGCCACAAGCGACCGTCTTCGGGAGGAAAGAGGGAGATGGTCACCTCAGGTAATCGTTTATGAAGGTTTCAAAAATGGGCGTGCCACAAGAGCAAAAGCTCCTGCAGTGCAACGAAGTGGGCGGGGCATATGTGCCCTGGGGTCAGAGAGCACCAATGTGAAGAACGGAATATGCAGTGTCACAAAGTGTCTCCGTGTCAGAACGAAGTGGGCGGGGCACATGTGCCCTGGGGCAAGACAACAAGAAAACGACACAAATCAAGTTATGACTTGACCTGTGCTCCCCCGACAAGAAAACACAAATCAAGTCACGACCCAAAGTGGTTGATGACATCTTTCCAATTGATTGCTGAGTTTATAACCATCCTTTCGGTTGAAATTGTGTCTGTATGTATATATCAATGGCTTCATGAACGAATCTTTGTTGATAGCCAATGGGCTTGCAAAGTACCATCGTCTTATAAAAATCTATTTCGTGTGAGCCAGCCGCATTAAAATAATGATCAGCCACGGCAAAAGTATTGGTCCTACCATGTTTCAAATCTTCCTTATGCTCACGAACACGGTCCAAGACATGTCGCTTAGTTTCTCCAATGTAACTGCTGCCGCAGATACAGCTAAGTTGTAGACGCCGGGATATTGCATGTCAGGAATCTTATCCTTCACATATGGGATCAGATCACGAATTTTATGTAATGTGTTAAATCGTACCTGGATCTTGTGTTTGTTCATGATTTTAGAAATCTTTTTGGTTACCCCTGCTATGTATGGTAAGGTGATGGTTTTGATTGGATCCTCAGTTGACTCCTTCCTCACGGTTGGGGTGATGGCTTTGCGGATTGTGTAGTCAGAATATCCATTTGCCTTGAGAGCTTGGTGTACGTTTTGAGTTCACTGGTTAGGTGTTCATGGTCAGAGATACATTGAGCTCTATGGTGTAGCGTTTTGACGAGGGAATTCTTCTGGGATGGATGGTGGTGGGAATCAGATTTTAGGTAGGCGTCAGTATGGGTTACTTTCCTGTAGACAGAATGGCTCATTGAGCCATCTGGTCTCTTTTTGATTAGGACATCCAAGAAAGGTAGCAGACCATCCTCTTCTACCTCCATGGTGAAATTGATGGCTGGGTGTATGGAATTGATGTGGTTGAGGAATTGGTTCAGAGCCGGTCGGCCATGTGGCCAGATGGCAAACGTGTCATCCACGTACCTCTTCCACAAGGACGGGCGTAGAGTGGATGCCTGGATGGCGTCCGTCTCAAAATTGTCCATGAAAATATTGGCAACCGGAGATAATGGAGAACCCATTAGGGTACCTTCAGTTTGTTTGTAGAATGTTCCATTCAAGGTGAAGTATGTATTGGTGAGGCAATGTCTCACCAGGGCCAGTACATCAGCATTCAATAATTGTTGGACCAAATCTTCAATGATTGCAATGTTATCGGGCACAGGAACTTTGGTGAACAAATAAACTACATCGAAACTAATGAGCAAATCACCTGGGGACAGTGAGATACCAGGTGAGCCGAGTTAAGTACAGAAGAGGTGGTCTTACCAGCGAATGGCTGCAAGGTCTCAGACAGATATCGGGCCAGTTTGTAGGTGGATGAGCCAATGGTGGAGACGATGGGACGAGGGGTGTACCTTCTTTATAGATTTTTGGTAAGCCACATAATCTGGGTGGTCTAACAGCAGGTTTTAAGGAAAACCGTTTGGTCTGTTCAATTAATGAAGCTGAATCAGTTATAATACTGTTCGTTTTTGTAACGAGGCTGTTGGTGGGATCTCTTTGATTTTTGTGTTGCGACCATCATTAAGTAGGTCCTGAATTTTGTTACTGTATGTGGTTTTGTCCATGATAACCGTGACATTGCCCTTGTTCACTGAGAGGATGGCGATATCATCCCTCTTTTTCAATTGAGAAAACACAAAACGCTCATCCTTACTGATGTTGCTGGCTGGTATCTTAGCGCTTCTGAGGGTTGCAGCGATTTCAGATCTTGTCACGTCTGCAGCGATGTGTCCCAAAACCTTAAGAGCTACATCGACCTGGGCAACAATGTCATCCACTGGTATGTTTGGGGGCGACTGCGAAGTCCAACCCTTTAGCCAAAACCTACTTTAGACCATCGGTAACTGGGCTATTATTCAGATTAATAACCTTGTCAACATCTAACTTTTTAATGTGTGGATATGGTTTATTCTTGGAAAGGAGGTTGAACTTGGAAATCAGTTTATCTTTACATTTAGCTGCCATTGTAGCGACTGATGAAGCAGTCATGTTATCTACATGTTCCCAATCAGATGTAGACATTTTTTCTGTTAATGTTAAGTGTGATTTCAAGGGTGTCTTGTCTACATGATCTAGTTCAGTACGGAGCAGTGTAATTCTCTCTGAGATCAGGGCCAAGCTAGCCCTGAACAAAATTCGTTTGGCATTGGAAGATGTGAAGCATCAGTGTAAATGCGATCGGTATTACCTTAGAGTGGCAGCATCTCTTCAGAAATGCGAGTAACTCGATCAGATGAGCTTTTGTGCCTCGGAGTTTGTTAAAAGATCTTATGGTTATGTGGAAACCCTCCCCGTGGAGGCGGTTAAATTTTGACTTAAAACTTTCGTGACTGCAGGAATTAATATGCTTTGGTTCTTTTGGTAAGGTCACGTAGATAGAAAAATAAAAAAGTGAATAAAAATAAAATAATAATAAACATTAATGTAGACTGTAGCCTGGTTCTTAATTAGAGTGAGTGTACTGGCAGTCTACAATGTAGACTGTAGCCTGGTCATTAAACACATATTGACGAAGTTATATAAAAGTACCGATGCATTATGGTACATCTGCATAGTTTATCCAATTGATATTGGCCTCTGCCATGTAAATGTGGAATTTCCACAATTAAGTGGTGTATGCATTGAATGGAGAATACACCTTCCTGATTAGATATAAAAAGCCACCCACCAGGCTCTGAAGTGTTACCCATGCTCTTTATGCCACCATAACAATTATTATGTATTCAAGTGCCAGTTTGTAGCAAGTCAGCATAGACTGTTCCATGGATTAACTTGTCTTGTCATAGGAAAGGAATTTCCACCAATCATTACTGCAAGCAGATCTCCACCTCATTAGGCAGGGAGACACTTTCACTGTTTGATCTCAATGCATAAGTGTTATAAAAACGTGTGGAATGTGTTTAATGTGTCATTGCCAGTACCACCCTCAGATATTTAAATAAATAACAATGGTCTATCATGTTTTGATTTAAAGCTTTCGTGACTGCAGGGATTCATATTCTTGGTTCTTTCGGTAAAGTCACGTAGAAGGGAAATAATAAAAATATAAAAAATAAAATTCTCACGTTTCGACTGCAACACAAGCAATCATCATCAGGTGTGAAAACCACAGCAAGAAATTTAGAAAAAAGTGGCGTTTTTTTACTGTTAGCACCACGGAGAGCGATTTGGGAGTTATTCAGATGGACGAGTCCATCTATGTTCGGAAAAGAGGGGGGAGACAAAAATAATGGATGCGGTCTGAAAGCCACCGTAAGCGTGAACAATCAATTAAGACCCGAAATAGTTTATCAAATCCTTCCAATGATTGCTAAGCCAGAATCCATTTTCTCGGTTGAAATTGTCTGTTTGTATATGGATAGCCTCATGAACGAATCTCTCATGGTAGCCAGATGGCTTGCAGAGAACCTGTCTTGGAGAAGTCAATGTCATGTGAGCCTACTGAATTATAACAGTGATCTGCCACGGCTGAAGTTTCCATTGTTACATGTTACGTAATATCGTTTATTGTAAAATTTCAATCACAGTTCCTACGATCACTGTTGTAACATTGGTCCTACCGTGTTTAAGGTCTGCTTGGTGTTCACGAATGCGGTCCGAGACATGTCGTGTGGTTTCTCCAATGTAACTACTACCACTGAGGCAACTTAGTTTGTAGACGCCAGGGTACTGTATGTCCGGAATCACATCTTTTACAGACGGAACCAGATCACGGATTTTATGTAATGTGTTGAATCGGACATGGATCTTGTGTTTATTCAAGATTTTGGAGGTTTTTTGTGATCCCCGCAATGTAGGGTAAAGTGATGGTTTTGAATGGCTCAAGAGGGTCCTTCTTCATGGTTGGAGTGATAG